AAGATCAATGATTTAGGAATCTGGATATTTTCATGAATAAGGGCTAAAATATTAGAATTATACCTGGTCATAGAGGACAGAGCGACTTACACAGGGACCCAGAAATGCGTCGGTCCCTTATAAACTCATAAAAGCGTGTCCTCTCGGCTTCCATTCACTACCATAGAGTACACGCACCCCATCCTTCCAGATGTGGCTCCGCCTTTACTAGTTAAACTGATCGCCAGACAATCCGGCACACCGGAAGTGGAAGTTCACAAAGTAGATAAACCCCGCCCACAAAACCCGGAAGCGTGATAATGGTCTATCGGTTTTGAGTTATTTTAATAGATCCATGGTTTGAGTCTGGATCAAGCCCCCAGGTTCCAAAATGGCCGTCCATTCAAGTCAATGGGCTGATGGCTGAGCTCAATGGCGCATGATCCCAGCTTAGCCTAGCATGGCTAGGTACTTCCGGTGGCTGTGGGCCGACCGAGCAAACGCAGTAGTGCTCTTTTCTCCCACGGGCACACGCGATTGCACGTGACCACACGCACGGAGCGCGGGCTCGTGTATCACGTGATCGCTTTGACCAATCAGAGCGAGAGGAACTAGAGCGGAGCAGAGCGGAGCCGGAGCTAACGAATATAAAGAGTTTTTTTTAAGACAACTGAAGGATTTTGAGCGAGAAAAAGTTTATGATCTAAAAATAGGTAAAAATCGCCAACAAATCCGATATTTTTGAAAGCTGTACGTGACCTGTCAGCCGAACACGAGCAGTTTGTGATTACATTGCGCTCTATGAAAAAAATCTTGTCTCGGCCCATGGGACTTTTTCTGCTGAAGTTCCAGTGAGTGACCACTACGTCAACTGGAGACAGCTACAAGCTAGCAATATTTTAATAGAGTCATGGTCTAGATTAAAAGAACATTTATTAGTGCAGACTTGTGATGTGAGGAGGAACCTGTGTGAGCTGTGAGTGTTGGAAATATGTCGACTTTGAAGCTAGTTTTGGTCATTTGTTATGGGTTAGCTGCTGATATGTAGCAGCTGATATGTAAATGAGCTGTGAATAGACGTGTGAATTATGACATTTGCGCATATAATTAATTACCGCGGCGCTCACGTATTTACGGCTAAAGGCTAATAGCGCTAATAGCGCTAGTTTCTTTCGCGAACGAAATGGCTCTTAGAACTGGCTCTTTGAAGCGAACGACGGGAGCCTGCTCCTTATTGGGAGCCGTGTTTTCTCTTTCTCTCACTTTTTTTCTCTTCACGCCGCATGCAGACTCGTGGTTTGACAGCGGCAGCGGCTAAAAACGAAACTTTGAGAAATTTGCGTGTACATTGGATAAAAAAAAAAAAAAGTGCATATTTGGCTGTAGTTTAGCTTAAAATAAATAAACCAGGACTAATATTGGGCACGAGATAGAGACCGAGTCCCGACACTCCAGTCCTGGTTCAGTTTTGGTTTAGTCCTGTTTTACACGTGGTCTAGATCTGTTTTAGTCCTGGTTTAGTCCTTTTTCAGTCCTGGTTCAGTCCTGCTTTAGACGTGCTTTAGACCTGCTTGCAACAAAACAATCTGAAGAGCCGCTTGGGAGCCAAAAGAACCAGCAGCTTTTAGTGAGCCGAGCCAAAAGAGCCGGTTCTCTAAAAAGAACTGGAATACCCATCACTAGTGTCTAGAATAATTTTATTATCCCATATGTGTAGAATGTGATGCAAAAATGCCATTAAGCCAACCTACTGTCTGTAAATATGATGTAAAGAGGCAGAATAACAATAAATGTTGCCTAAATAAACCCAATTTAAAATCCATCAGAGCCAAACGTAAGTTTTTTAAACATCACTAAATATATCGGTGATTATATCGGCTATTGGCAGCTCCAACTCCCATTATATCGGTTTCATATCGGTCGAGCTCTAGTTTATAATACTGTATAGCAGGGATCATCCCCTCCATGTTCGAACATCCCTCACAGTGGAGAGTTTTAAGTCTCGTCTTGAAACCCACTTTTATTCTCTGGCTTTTAACACTGCGTGACTTGTGTGGTCCCCTGTGCCTTTTATTTGTTTTATTCATTACCTCCGCCAAGGAGGTTATGTTTTTGCCGGCGTTTGTCTGTTTGTTTGTTTGTTTGTTTGTTTGTTTGTCTGTTAGCAACATAACTCAAAAAGTTATGGACCGATTTTATGAAATTTTCAGGATTTGTTGGAAATGTGAAAAGGAAGAACTTATTTCATTTTGGGGGTGATCCGGAAGGAATCCTGGATTCTGGATCACTTTTGAAATTTTAACAGTTAAATGGGGCCAAAAATTTTGTTTCTCAATATCTCGATTAATTATTGACCAAACCCCATGAAATTTGACTCAGGGATGGACAATCGGATCCTCTTTCATATTCCAAATTGAAAGATACGAGACAAATATTTATGGAAAACACAATTAATATGAGGGGGACTGTAGTCCTTGGTGGAGGTCTGCGCTCTCTGAGTGCTTTTCTAGTTTTTAATGTATTTTATTGGTTTTATTTCTTTATTGCTATTCTATGATTTTGCTCTTATTTTATTTGACTGGTTTTATTATTTTAAGACTAGTATGATTAAATCTGAGCTTTTATTTTATCATTTTATTATTGTTGTTATTTTTATGTATTTGTGCAGCACTTTGGAAACTGTTTGTGAAATGTGCTGTATAAATAAACTGGATTGGATTGGATCATCAAATTAAGGCCCACCCCAGCCCCTAAACCCCCCACCACTATCAGCAGTACTCTGGTACAGAGTACTGTAGTGCAGAGTACTGTAGTGCAGAGTACTGTAGTGCAGTTAAAGACAGCAAAATGACTCATGTTAAAGTACAAAAAGTTGACAGAGAGTGCCAAGTTGGACACAGTGGTTTAGCGATTATTTTTTTGTTCAGTGTAAGGAGTGTGCAGTTTGTCTGATATGTAACGAAAGTGTGGCGGTTTTCAAAGAATATATTCTGCGTCGTCAGGGTCATACAATTCTGTTAAATGGCCGACCCTGACCCCGGCCCCCATCACAGTCAAGACCCATAATGTTGCACCCAGACAAAAAAGTTTGGTGACCCCTGGTCTATAGGGTAGCATAAAATGTATGTATCACCATGGAGACTGTTATTGAGGAATATTGATGTATGGTTTAAACTTTATATTACCTTGGAGTGGAAGTTATTCTGTTTTACTTTAAAATAGAAACCACTGCCAATAATCCTTTATGTTTTTTTCTTCTTTTTTTTTTTTTTTCTTTCTGAACCCTATGACCCATATTATAAAGCAATGCAGATCCTACTGTCTTGCACTGTTTTTCCTCTCTCACATCACCACAATTGTATCGCTTATTATTACGTTTCACATTGTATAAAGCCCATGCAAAGTGTTACTTTTCTTGTTGAGATTCATGGGAAGTTGCTCTACCTTTACATCCCGGGCTCGGTGTGTTTGTTGGTGCGCATCATCTTTTAATCCTGGTTCTCCCATGTCCTTCAAACACCAATCAAGGTTGTCATTAATGAGCATTTCTCTCCTCTCTCCGCGGTGCCCTTCTCCTCCTCTCCGTCGAAAGCTTTCATAATTAACCACAAACTCTGCTGCCTGCTAATGATGCCCCGATCCATGGTGCCGATGTGCGCACAGAAAATCATTGCAAACATCACTTCAACTTTGATTAGCGATTTACCTGTGTCTAGTTAGGGTATTCTAATTTAATCTGATATAACTTTGTCTCAAAAACATTTCCTGATTAGTTGAGATGAGTTTGGGCTCTGCTGATTTGATTACCACAATATAATCTTGCATACCTCCATGACATTGGACTTTGCAAATGTGGACAAAAGTCACATGCTACAAGAGAAATTACACTAGAGAATACGACAATTACAACAGCAACTTAATCCGATGTGGTTTGACTAGGTGCATTCCAATAAATGCGACTTGTCTGTGACTCCAGTGTGAATGGTAAATGGCCCGAAAGTGTCCCGCATGTGCACTGGAGGACACGATGACGTCAACCCCATGCGTCAACCGCAGCGAGCGTGCTTTGTGTTTACGGAAGTTGTCCAAACATGGACGCGAGCATTGAGCACCTGGCGATTTTACAGTTCCGGTTTCCGCCTGCTTCAGCGCAGAATAGTGACGTTTGTCGCTTGTTGATGACGTGTAGGTCGGATGAATGCGCTTTGCCCGTTCAGACTGAAGTCGCATGTCAAAAGATCGGATATGTATCGGTTTCAGGACCACATATCCAAGTGGCCTGGGTCGCATTTGAAAAAATCGGATCTGTGCCGTTCAGACTGTCATTAAAAGGTCAAATACAGGTCACATAGAAGCCAAAAAATCGGATTTGGGTCACTTCAGGCTGCAGTCTGAACGCAGCCTAAAACTTGGGACTCAACTTGGACTTGACATTCAATGACTTGGGACTTGTCTCGGACTTGAGGCCTGTGACTTAAGAAGACTTGAGAGGCACTTTTCACAATCTGAATTCTTTCTGTTCTGACTGTAATGATTTGCACTAAGATCTTGTCAAAACAAGGAAACAGGAAAAAATTACATTTCCACTCTTAGATACTATATAAATACTCATATATAAATGTACTATACATTTTTAAATCCAATGTAATTCATATAAATTGCGTAAATCTAAGCTACATTTGGTACTTTGGTTTAAAGACTTGAAAAGACTTGAAGCTCAAACCAGACAACTTGGACTTGACTTGGATTTATGAGACAATGACTCGAGACTCGACTTGGACTTGCCTGTCTTTAACTTGGGACTTGACTTGGACTTGAGGTCAAAGATTTGAGACTCATTTGAGACTTGCAAAACAACAACTTGGTCCCATCTCTGACAATAACTACAACAATGTACTGCAGCCCATTAAGCAGCTGTGTGTTTGTAAAGGGGATATACAAATCAGACCAGTAACTCAAGATATTTACAACTCCATTTTCTCTTTCTTTTCCAGGTGTTGCATCCAAGTGGGGTGGTAACCATGGAGAGGTTGTTGCTATGTGTGATGTTGGCGGTCGCCATGGCAGTACGGGCACAGATTTGCCCCAAACGCTGTGTCTGTCAGATCCTGTCACCCAACCTGGCAACCCTGTGCGCCAAGAAAGGCCTGCTGTTTGTACCTCCCAACATAGACAGGCACACGGTGGAGCTGAGGCTGGCCGACAACTTCGTCACAAGGTAATGCTTCCACTAATTAAGTACGCAGGATACTGATGTTAAAAAAATTAATTAAAGAGTTTTACATTGATGGCCAAGAATGACCTTCAGCATATCCGCTACTGTTAAATTTAAAACTATAAATCAAGAGTTGCTATAGAAAATTTTCTGGCACGTCACATAAATTAATTGGACATTGTGCACAACCTGGCAAAGCTCTCCCATTGTGTCCATCTATGTGACCGCCATCAACTCAAATGACTTGCTCTCTCAAAATAAGCATTCAAATAGTTGGAAGTCTAATTCAATGTCTGGAATGTGATGCAAATATTTTTAACATTACAATATTCAAACATAATACTGGTGTCTAGACTCAAGGCCAGCCATTTGCTAAGATGAACTATTCAAACGCAGTATTAAATGCCATACAATTTCAGACCTAATGCAGTTTTTACAATGATTCATCTAAGCTAATTACACAAATAAAAATGATTTCTCTACTGCTGCCACCAATACAGTGGTACATATTTCAGTGGGATTGCCATCAATAGGCGTAAAATATGGTGAACGGAGGCTGAGCAGGATTGTAAGAGGCCAATATTTGCTCAGAATGATGTTTTGATCTTTAATCACTGGACTGAAACGTGGGACTCATAAATCTGACTGGCCCTTGTGGCAGCCTACACATTCTGTATTGGACTATCAGTAAATTGAGTTCCTAAATCCTGTCAGCACAGGCCAAAAGCAGATACTTGGCACCTGGACAAGTTTCAGATCTGCATTCAGTCCCCAGGTTAGGCTTGGGGACAGTCAATAGGACAGCCACTCTACTTGAGAGGGTGATTCATTGTAGCCCCGGTAGACACTTGTGGATAGGAGTTTTCTTTTTGGCACGACTAAAAACACAAAATATAAAATAGATATAGCGAGTGAAAATGACACTGACACAACCCCACCAACATCTAAACGTGAGATTGATTATAGTGGCTTTGGTACTCATAACATTTGCAACATTTGGAAGTTAGTAGCAGTAATAATCTCCTCCCGATACTCAATGATGGTAAACTACTTCTGTAATCATATTTATCATCATCATCATCATTTCCTCCAACCATTGCGACTCACACACTACCTTCATACAAAGCATTCAAACATGCACAAGTACAAGTACAATGGCACCAAGTTAGCACCGGTTAGAGCCTGGATCCAGCCGCCAGCCTCTCAGTTATACAATGACAATTACCCCATAAGCCACTGTCACCCAAGTTAATCCTAGCATGCTAATTGAGAGTGTATTGCGATCTGTTTAGCTTTTGGCACTCATCTTTCAAATGCGTCTATATCGGTTTCATAGAGTCAGTTCTCTGGAAAGCTCTATCCTAATGGGGTTCTGAACAGCTGCTAAAACAACACTAGTCACTGATGGTGCTGCAGAGCCGGGGGCAACTCTGGTGATGATGAGGCATTACCCTGGATGCTTTTATGAGCCACATTAACCTCAGGCACTAGGATCGAATCAAACACATTTGGAATTTTAAAGAAAGTTTGAGCCATGGTTTAGTCTGTCTTTTCATAGATTTTAAAGACTGATGAAACACTCGTGCCTAGTTGCCATAGCAATTAACAAATCAAAACTAAAATTAATAATGCTGTTTCGAATGTCCTCAAAATGGCGCCTATGACACGGATGCCAAAATCCTAGAATAGTCAGTGGAGCTGCTCGGGGCAATGTTCTGATAGCGATGCCAACTGAGACATGCATGGGTTCTCTCACCAAGCCTGGTAATTGTTCATAGGCCACAAAAATTAAATGATTTGTTCCAGTTGAATGAAAACCATATGGGATTTAGCATGAGATCAAGATTAGTTTGTAACTGTCAATGATTTGGTTTTATTTGTTTTTAAAGGGCCTATATTACACTATTTTCTGATCTATAGTATAATGTTGTCTCCTCATCACAAACATTGGGGGTGTCAACTTCTCTCAAACAGAAAACACTATGTACCACCTTGTGATGGCATGTGGTAAAGCAGGAAGTGCTCCACTGTGTTTTTAAAATCCATACACCTTCATTAGAATCATTTGGATAATTTCAGGTCTGGAACTGCCGATCTCTGTTGAACTAAAGGTAAAAGGTAGCTGTTAACTTTTTGAGCATTGGAGATGTACACAGCCCAATAATGCAGGATTACTCAAACATGTGTGAATGAAACAAAACTCCAGGTATGTTTTTGATGAGGTTACAACATTAAAACATGTCTTAATGCTCATAAGAGTCAATAAGGCATAATATAGGACCTTTAATGAGTCAAAAATTTGACTGACCATTTGGCATCCAGTCCTATTTTGAAGACTTCATACAGCACATGTGAAAGCTTTAAACGATATATATAGAAATGCACTATTAGAGATTCACTTGCATATTCCGTTAGAAAGTATTCAGCAGGAATTCTGTTTGAGGAATTTTGTTTTCATGAATTCATATTTATGCTGTTTACTGTCCACAGCGTGAAGAGGAAAGACTTTGCAAACATGACACGTCTGGTGGATCTAACTCTGTCCCGAAACACCATCTCGTACATCACACCTTATGCCTTTGCTGATCTAGAGAACCTCAGAGCCCTTCACCTCAACAGGTAAGAACCCTAACTAACTTTTGGAAGTTCCATCAAATGCTTTTTCATGGAGATGTTTTTGCTTTGTCTGGAATGTTTCACAGTATGGTATTAAACCTTTCTATCTTTATGGAGATCAAACCAGACCAAGTTACAGGTCAGATCTGTGGAGAGGCAATCCCACTCCCAGTCAGAATGCTTGTTTTTCTAGGTTGATAAATGTAAGGTAGATCTGTTTAATGTCATACTATAACTATAACATTCCAGGGAGACCAATGACATACCCAAAGAAACAAATTAGTGACGGACCCCCAACCAAACAGTTAGACAGTGCACTTTTAAGGAATTGTGTTTTGATAATACTTTATGTCTTTTTTCAGTAATCGGTTGACAAGGATAGGCAATGATACTTTTAGCGGGATGTCCAAGCTACATCATCTAATTCTCAACAACAACCAGCTGGTCCTCATTCACCAGGGAGCGTTCAATGACCTGCTCGCGCTGGAGGAACTGGACCTGAGTTACAATAATCTAGACTCTATTCCGTGGGAGGCCATTCAGGTTTGTTTTGTCCTAGATAACAGATGATGTAAATAATGCTGAATTGAATGAAGGTAGACGTGATGACAATGGACGACCGAGTGAGCTAAGGTCATCCGTTTCAGCGTGCTGTTGAATCCATGACTACTGCAAGCTACATAATCAAACAGGATTCTAGATGGGCTGCCAAAAAAGTTTAAAGATTGTCTGAAAACAAAATGGATTTAAGCAACTAATTTTTCAGGATCCTGTCATCAATATGAGTGCTAATGGTCCTGTTTAGGTGTTTGATTTTTCAGTAAAAAGAGTGACTAACTAAAAAAATGCATTTGTTTCTTATAACTTTTGTAAATAAAAATATAGTTATAATGATACACAAAGATACACTCCTATCAACACTTTTGTGGCAATCAGTACATCAAAATTATAATATTTCTCTTCTCTCTTGAAACAGAGAATGATAAGTCTTCACACGTTGAGTTTAGACCACAACATGCTGGACTTTATTCCAGAGGGGACATTTTCCCTGCTACAAAAACTCAACCGCTTGGACGTCACCTCCAACAAACTCCAAAAGCTCCCCCCAGACCCACTTTTCCTAAGGGCCCAAGTAAGTCACCCTTCTGCTTTTACAACTATCCATTTTCAGCTTTTACTAATGTTGCTTTCTTACCACAGGTCTTGGCCACATCGGGCGTGCTAACCCCATCCACATTTGCGCTGTCTTTCGGCGGTAACCCTCTCCACTGCAACTGCGAGTTACTGTGGTTAAGGCGACTGAACCGAGAAGATGACCTGGAGACATGTGCCACTCCACAGCACCTGTCTGGGCGCTACTTCTGGTCAATTCCTGAAGAGGAGTTCTTGTGTGAACCTCCTCTCATCACCAGATACTCCCATGAGATGAGGGTCCTGGAAGGTCAAAGGGTTGCACTCAGGTATGTCATTAATAAAGGCCATTTTTGTTAAGGATTGGTCTTTATTTTGTTATCAGTTAAGATATCACACGCTATAAAGTAGCTGTAATGTTTACAAGCTGCTGAAATTGCCCAACTGTTCAATGGAGCGCTTAACAGGGACATCAGCGTAAAATTTTAAGAGGGGACCAAACTAAATCAAAACAACAATGAAACTGAGGCGTGGTGATGGCTTCATTTGCATATATATTGGTCACACGCTCCCAATCATGATAGATGTTATGTTTTCAAATATAGATATGTCTGGGAATGAGAAAGGGCTGGCAGGGGGAGAGTGGGTGCGCCACGATTATTATTGCGTCGCTGTTATTGCAGCTGACGGTGGTCCTCATATATATGTCATATAAGAGGGGATCAGCAGGGTCAGCCCACCTAATATCTACTCTTAATAACCTAAAAGATATGGAAAAAGTTATGGGAAAGGACACAATAAAAGTTTTTATCATCAATTTCTATCTAGTATACGTTAAGTTTAGAAGTTAAGTTTACAAGTTTATTTCCATGTATCAAACCACTGCATTGCCTTTTATTCACATTTTGAATGGATTTTCATCATATTAATGATCATAAATTTGGGCTGTGACATAGTTTTTCAACTGAGGCGAGTCGTATAACCTTCCCAAAGTCAGGCGTGCTTGGGCTGGGCAGTGAATGATTGCCCCATAAGTAAACTGTTCTATGTCACGGCCTGATTGCTTTTCATATGTTTACAAACTGTCACATCCAATATTCCCAAGCTCTTTTCAGCATAACCCTGACATTTACTCAGGGACAGTCATTGCTCACTGTAATTGTGCCATAAGTATTCAGTAGCCTTCATTTGCTTTTATTTGCACAAGACAAGCATTGATTGTACACGTTTATTGTAAGTTATTTCATATCATGTACTTTCATTTCTATAGTGGCCTCATTCATCATAATGCCACCCAGTTATTTCTAATCCAAAGTGTTATTTGTACAATGTAATACATTGCATAACTGACTAAGCTAAATCGATGTACAAGGTAGCTAATGTTCAAGACATATTTTCTGTTTGAGTCCCAAGGGGAAATGGAAGGTTCCACCAAACTGCTGTGTAGTGCTGTTCTGTTTTTACTGTACGCTTGACCTCATTCTGTCTGTGTACTAATATGTTCCACTCGGATGCTCCCCTCTCCTGAAAGGTGTAAGGCAAGAGGTGACCCAGAACCTGCCATCCACTGGATTTCTCCCGAGGGAAAACTGGTCTCCAACTCATCTCGGACTCTGGTCTACACCAACGGGACCCTGGACATCCTCATCAGCACGGTCAAAGACACTGGTTCTTTTACTTGTATCTCTTCAAACCCAGCCGGGGAAGCACACCAGACTGTGGATTTAGTGATTATCAAACTCCCTCACATCTCCAACAACACTAACAACATCCAGGAGCCAGACCCGGGATCATCAGACATCTCCACATCCACGCGAGGAGGGGCCAATGGCAGTAATGTGACGGGCGATGTGAAGGGAGCAGATAAGAGAGTGGTGACAGCCGAGGCTACATCTTCAACTGCACTGATAAAGTTCAACTTTCAAAGGAATATCCCCGGAATACGCATGTTCCAGATACAGTACAACGGGAGCCAGGACGACTCTCTGGTGTATAGGTGAGTCTCACAAAACACCACTCGCTGCAAACAGAGCACATTTTTAGGAGCAGTTGTTTGTCATGGAGTTTTGGCACTCATATATATCCATTGTTGTTGGAAGAGTAGCCATGTCAGATACGAGGATAGGCGTACAGCAAGGCCTAGGCCATAATTACTATATTGACTTATCATTCAGTATAAGGTTGGGACAATATTTTTTGGGGCATCAATATTTACTGTGTTTATCAATATTTACCGTACATTTTCTTTGCACCACTAGGAGATTTTTTTTTTTTTCTTCTTTTGCAATATATCGCACTTCAGAATGTGTTATCGTGACTCCTTTAGTAGTCTTAATTCAAAAGTTTTTCAGGATTTTTTGCAGAACATTTTGGTATTAGACCACAGATGTATGGCACTAGTAACAGTAAATGCAGTAAATGAGTAGCTATTGCGTTATTAAAGAAGAACACACCTAATTGAAGGCTCTGGCACAATGCAAACTAACCAATATGTCTCGTGCAGATACCATCAGTCTGGCCTGTTTAAGATTGGATTACATTTGATTAGACGCTAATGCTAATGATCCTGTTAGCAAGCGTGATTGGCCCAAATAAAAACCGAACAGGCGACCAAAGTGAGCTGAATTAAAACTATAAAGCAAATGGGCTGTTTACTGCTAAATCAATGGCGGCTTTAACGCATTGTAAAAAATGTCCACATCGGCATGCTAATTCAGACCTTCAGGTTTAAAAAAGGCTGGATAAGGTAGGCTATCTTAGCATAACCACTATATTGGCGAGCCCCCATCTTCACTTTCACGTGTTTGCGTTGGATCACACAGACCGAAACTCCCAGGGAATGAGTATTTGAGCAAAAATATTTACCTCAGAGATGGATGGATCGAATTAGCAAACATAGCATAGCCCATTTAGCCAGCGCTATTATCTGCTTTTAATATGAGAGCTAATCCTCATTCATCAGTATCGCTCATCATGGACAGAAGGTGAATGTTATAAAAGTGGCTGTTTGAGTCTGATCGCGTGTATCGTGCTAATCTTTATGTATTGTGAACGGTTCCAAGACAGAAGGGATACAGATGGATGTGGATGAAGGAGATCATTTCTCTGATGTTATCTGCACACCATATTATTCCTAATCTGGGTACATCAATTACCAGCTAAGCCTTACACAGTAGAATACATCATTAACTCACAGTGCCAATGGGATTTAGAGATTTCCATCGTCAAAGATCATCTCAGTCACTTTAAAATATAAAAAAGGATACTTAATGTTTTTGTACCATGTGGTTTTATCCAGTGACAACAGTAGTTCAAGAACGAAGTAAAATGGCAAAGCGAATAAGCAGAAGTAACAAAGGTGGTCAGTGTTTCTAATAGTAGTCACATTATTAATAATAGAAAACTTGTTGTAATTGTTCTGTTTTACCCACTTAGTAATTTAAAGGTGCACAGTGTAACTTTTCTGACGGAGGATCTGGTGATGCCATGAGTGTCAGTCACAGGCCTTGATCTGTGGAGAGGCAACCCCATATAGTTAATAAAATATATTTTAGAACAGTGTTTCCCAACCTTTTTTGTGAGGATCCTTATTTTAAAAGTCACAAACCTTCGTGACCCAAGTCAATAGACAATATTCATAAATCACAAAATGAAGGTGGATTTGATCATTATTTAACATTAATGATGATATTTTATTGTTGACTGACTGATGGTGTCTCTCTGAACAATTAGTATTACTCAAGTTTTAAACAATGAAAAACAATAATTGAAGCAGCAATAAAAGGATCCATAAGTTGTCTATTTGGACATTAAATGTAGCCCATTTGTTTTTCTTTTCAACATTCAACTGAACCAGTAATATTGGAACAAAACTGTCAATAAAATAATTACAAAAAGATTAGAAATTATACAAAACACATCTTAACATTTCAACATTTTTAATGAGATAGGTTGGCCTGTCTGCATTTTTGTAGCATGTTCCAGTCCGGGTGTAGGATGGGAGAGCAACACAATGTCAGGTGACCCCAAAAAAAAACATTGTTTGGGAAACAATATTTTAGAGCAGTAAAAACACCTGTAACTGAATAGATAGTAAGACAAACAATTGCCAGCCAAAGCATCTCCCTGGAGTCAAAAAGTGGAGAAAAGTTACATAATGCTCCTTTAAATGCACTATTAAACTACATGATAAATTAACATTTTTCAACACCTGCTGCACTCTACTATATATATTAGAAGTATATTGAGGCTTAAAGTTTTGAGAACTGCAAAACTATCATTCTGTGTATATAACTTGTCCCTACATATTTTGGTATGTGGCTTCAACATTTTCACCCAGCTCTCAATTCACTTCTTCAAAGCACTGACAGGAAAGCATGACAAACAAGCGCCTATGGGTGCTCTGTGCGGACGAGTGATTGAACATCCACCCAGCACCCAAATCATCCTCTTTCATACCTCTTGCGGTCTCCTTTCTTTTCCCCCTCTTGCTTTCTGTCACCGCCACTCCCGCATGCTGCTGTGAGTCGCCACTGTGTTGTTGGGTGTTATTTTACCGGCCTCTTGCCTTTAGATAGGCAATTGATTTCCATTCAACACCTCGGCTGGCACAAAGCTGCTTCCCATTGATCCTGTTTTTTTCATTACCTAAACACAGAGAGAGAGAGGAGAGGGGAAAGGAGACAATAGACAAGGAAAAATGAGTCAAATTGGAGGAGGAGGACTTTGAGGTTAAAGGGCTATACATTGGGTTATAGTTTAGTCATTGCAATATCAGCATGTGTAAAATCTATATATTTAACCCGTTTGCCATCAAAAATTCAACTAATATTTCTGAGTAAATAATTTTGTTCATTTTGTTTATTTGAGCAATACAGTCCTTAACATTTTTATGACAAAATGTAGTTTTTCTACATTTCACTGTCGTACAGTGGTGACTTATTTTCAGATTTATTTCAGCTGAAGTTGAAATAAATATATCCAAAAATGGCAATGTTTTACGCAATATTATGTTTTTTCATGTGTATTTTTTTATATTCATTTTTTCTCATGTTATGCAGCTCTAGATGTTGCCCATGCCGGTTTCCGTATAAGAGGCCTATTGATTGACAGTGGTGCAGTGCACTTTTATCTTAATGTTCCTGTCTGGAAGTGGAAATGGGGCACATACCGGCAGTCTGCATGCTCTGTGCATAAACACTACAATAAATGAGACAGTTTAATGCCTCTTGCAGGCCACTGCCATTGGTTTGCTTAACTTCCTGGACATGTAATACATTACATATGTGAAATGGAATCGCTGTAATGGTTGATTCTCTATTGATCGCTGTAGAAATGGCCTATGCACCAATTCTTCTGGTTGGAAGGTCAAAGTCATGGGCAGAGCAGCTCTCTGGCTAACATGGATTTAATGTCCAGTTGTGGGACACTTGAGACATGCAGACTGATACATGTGCTGTTATAACACCAGGGCTACTACTTAAGTATTGACTTTCAGCACTGGGTGATCACAAACTACAGAGAGAAAGAGAAAGAAAGAAACATCTACTCAAAACAAAGCAGCAGAAATTTTCAGTGATTTCTTTTTTATCCAACAGCCTGTACTAATTGTTTCAAATGCCAAGTGGCAAATTAAGTATTTCTTGGTGCTAAAAGCAGTTGAATGATTTTGCAAAATGGATTATTAAAATGTTTTAAACTTAAACTGAATTTGGTGCATACACAAGATGTTCTCTACTTTGAGGAAGTGTTTGTACACAACAGAGTAGAAGTTCTTGCTACATGTTTTAAAGGACCCTTCTTATGCTGTTGTGTTGTGTTTCATTCACATGTTAACACACAAGGTAACAGGTCTCTATTAACTTGAAAACTAGTGTAAGTGTATTTTGAACTTTGGACATGTAGACAGACTAAGAACAAAAGATGACTCAAGTGTGTTACATGTGTGAATGAAACAAGGTATGTTTTGATGAGTAACAGCATTCTAGCTAGAGTCAATTTTGCATAGTATAGGCCCTTAAAGGCATTCTGGATCAATGTACAGAGCATTTAAAGAGCAATAACTGGACAAATATGTAACTTAACAACAGCCAAATCATTTGAAGCTAACCATACATTTTATCAGTTGTTTGCGGTGTGCTAATAATGCAGCGGGTACAGCAGGGCCATCAAATAGGCTGATGTCAGAGAGATAGAATTACAAACCGCAAAGTTGAGTTACATGCACAGTCTTATCTCTGTCTACGAACTCTTTGGAAAACAACAGGATGAAAGGATTATGTGAACTTACATTGGAAAGACTGTGCATGTGTGTGCTTTTAAAATGGATTCTTGGAAATAAGAAATTGAGGAACACGTTAGTATATTTTTACAATATTCAGTTGTATATAGGACTGTCAAAACAAATTGATACAGATAATCAATATAAAAACTAGTACTGATAATTTACTAATTTGACAAAAAAGACAAATACTACTAATATACTACTATTATTTTGTGCTAGAAATGGTACAGTATTATCTAAAATAGTCATTATATCAATATTTAGTATTGAGCCTTTTCCTTGGTATCAAAATCAAGTATGAAGTTTTTTGTTTTGTTTTTTCTTTGTGACACTTTATACTGTAATCTTTCTACACCCCCAAATCTTAAAATGCTCTGTTCCACCTTGTGATGTAATGAAGCAGTAGTTTTCAGGTAAACAGCTACCCTTTACTTTTTGTTCAGTAGAGATTGGCAAAGTCTGAAATCATCCCAATGATTCTAGTGAGGAGGTGTAGACTTTAAAAACACAGTGGAGCACTTCCTGTATTACACATGACATCACAAGGTGGAGCAAAGCGTTTTCAGTTTGAGAGCAGAATTTAGGTTGCAGGATTTGTGTGTTAAACATGTGAAGTGAACACAACAGGAAACAACATTATAACATAGATCAGAAAATTGTGTAATACCGGCCATTTAAATGTGAAACCATCTGCTTAAACATTTTCTTTTCTA